TTAAAGATTAGAAACTAAGTGCTTTCTCTCTAAGATCAGTGACAAGATGAGGATGTCTGTTCCTACCACTGCTATTCAGCATTGCACTGAAGGTTTTAGCCAGGATAGTAAGAAAAAAAGGACATCAATAAGAAAAAGACATTAATATGGGAAAGGAAAAAGTAAAGCTATCCTTGTTTGAGAGTAACATTATTAACTGGGTTGAAAATGCTGTGGATATTACATCAAAGCTAACAGAATTATTAAATGAGAATAGAGGAGTTTCAGGATACATGATCAATAGGCAAAATTGAGTTGTGTTGATATTATTAGCAAGAAGAAATTTAAAATAAATAATAATGGCTCTGACAAAAATGTTCAGGACCTATACACTGAACGTTACAAAATGTTGAGAGAAAAAAAGAATGACCAAATTAATGCAGAGATGTTGTGTTCATGAATTAGAAGACTAAATATTGTTCAGATGTTAATTCTACCCAAATTCATTTACAGATTCAACTTGTACATGAATGTTCATAGCAGCTTCTGAACTGGAAATACCCCAATTGTCAAACAATCAAAATCTCAAATGACAGGTTTATTTTAAATTATTTATGGACATACAAAGGACTAGAATAACACAAATTTGAGTAAGATCAAAGTTAGGGATTTATATGACCTGTTCAAGTCTGATGATAAAGATATAATAATCAAGAGAATATAGTATTGAGGTAGATGGAAACAAATAGATTAATGGAACAGAATAAAGAGTCCAGAAATAGACCTTTGCATATATGATCAGCTGATTTTTGACAAAGGTACAGAGGCGATTCTGTGGAGAAAGGATAATCTTCAATAAATGGAAAAAAAGATCTTCCTCATCCCATATCATAAAAGTTCACCCAAAATGGATTATAGAGTTACATCTAACACTTAAGGCTCTAGAAGTAATCATCAAAGGAACAAAATCTGGAAACTTGTAAAAGAAAACATAGAAGAAAATTCTGTGACTTTGAATTAAACAAAGATTTCTCGATATGATATTGAAAGCATGATTCAAACAAACGACCAAAAAAGATACATTGAACTTTTTAGAATAAAATTAAGCACTTTTGTTTTTCCAAAGACCCTGTGAAGAGAACGAAAGAACAAGTTACATACTGTGATAAAATATTTGCAAATTACAAACCTAATAACGTTTTTGTGTTCAGAATATATAAGGAGCTCTTATAAATTCAGTAATAAGAAAAGGAACAATCCATTAACATTATAATGGGCAATAAATTTGAACAGATACTACCAAAGGAAATACACAGATAATAAATAACCATATGAAAAGCATGCAAAAAATTATTAGTCTTTAGGGAAATGCAAATTAAAACCACAGGAGATTCCAGTACACATCACTAGAATGCCTAAAATTAGAGACTGAATGTAGTAGTTAAGGTTATGTGTCAGCTTGGCTGGACAGAAGGATGTAGTTATTCCCTGTGGTGAGATTTGTAATCAACCCCATGGTGGAATCTACTGGAGCAGCTGAGTAGTTGCCTTAGGGATGTGGTCTGCTTCCAGTATATAAGGAAAAGTGTTGAGAAAGGTCTGCTGCTTTTTGGCACACTATGACCCTGCATGTAGCCAAGTGTTCATTTAGCAGCTTGCCATTTTTCCTGCCAATCTTGGGACTGTGTCTGGACTTGAATTAGTGGCCAGCTGTGTTGTTTGATAATATTGGTACTGTGTCATTTTTGTTTACTGACCTTGGGGTTGTTAGCCTCAGCTGCCAGCAGCTGCCTGAGTGAAGAAACACTTCTAGTTCTAGTGGGCTGGAAGCAAGAGGTAGAGCTGAAGCCCAAGGTTGAGGGGCTTTCACCTAGTCCCTAGAGCCTGGAACTTTGAACTCAGATTTCTATAAGAGAATAAACTCTTATTTGATAAGTCCATCCACCTGTGGTATTCCTATCAGAGCTGGCAGCATGAAGTAACCAAAATACTAACTATATCAAGGATGCAAACCATCTAGGACACTCATATACAGCTGGTGGAAATGTAAAACAGTGCAACTACTTTAGAAAACAATTAGGCAGTTTTTGAAAAAATTTGAACATGTATGCTCATATAACATAGCCATTTCAATCTTAGATATTTATCCAAGAGAAATGGAAGCATATATCCATATAAAGACTTGTATATGAATGTACATAATAGCTTTGTTATTTGTTGTTTTTGTGTTGTTGTTGTTATGTGCCATCGAGTTGGACCCGACTCATAGCGACCCCTCCTTCAATTTCCGAGGCAGTGTCACTACATAAGTAGATTGCCCCATCTTCCTTCCGAGGAGTAGCTGGTGGGTTTGAACTACCAGCCTCCTGGTTAGCAGTCAAGTGCCGTAAGCACTATGCTACAAGAGCTCCTATTTGCCCATAGAATCCTTTAATATAGCAATGTGAAGCATGAATATTTCTTCAGTTCTTTGAGCTTGAAAATTGCTGAACGTGTTCTTCCCTTTTGGTTTTCTAACTCCAAGTCTTTGCACATTTCAATTATAATACTTTGTCTTCTTGAGGTGCCCTTTGATATGATATGTTCAGATCTTTTCTTTCATTTCTTCCATTCATTTTAGCTACTCTCCATTCAAAAAGAAGTTTCAGAATCTCTTCTGAAATCCATTTTGGGCTTTTCTTTCTTTCTTCTATTTTTAATGACCTTTTGGTTTCTTCATGTATGATGTCCTTGATGTCATCCCACAACTCATCTGGTCTTAGTTGTTATTGTTCAATGCCTCAAATCTGTTCATTGGATACCTGATAATTCAGGTGGAATATACTAAAGGTTGTATTTTGGCTCTCTTGGACTTATTTAATTTTCTTAAATTTCAATTTGAACTTACATAAACAATTGAGATAAGGACCTTCTTTTAAACTGTGAGCCAACAGAGAGAGAAAGCCTTCTCCTAGAGCTGGTGCTCTGAATTTGAACTTCTAGCCTCCTAAACTGTGAGAGAATAAAATACTGTTTGTTAAAACCACCTACTTGTGGTATTTTTATTATAGCAGCACTGGAGGACTAAGACATCTGCCTCTGGGCCTCCTCTTCCCTTTCTTTTTTCAATGCCAGGTAGGGAGGAGGGACAGGGAGTAGTCAAGTGACTCTTATGGAAGAACCCTAGCAGGAAACCCTTTTGGATGGGTACAGGTAGAATGCTCTAATCAATCATCTTAATCAGTGTACTGTGAACCAAGTGGAACTGAGGGTGGTGTGAACTGAGGCTTATCTTTGCTCTGCCATTTCTCTGAAGCTTTCCTATACTATTCTGGTAGGGGCAGAGGAAATCAGCATATTTGTGGCTTATCCAATTGAGGAAAAAAACTCAAGACTTTTCTTATAAGCATCCACAGTCTCTGCAAGTAGGTATCTGTCTTAGGCTAGGTTCTCTAGAGAAGCAAAACCAGTAAAGCTTATAGAGAGAGGAGCTCTGGTAGTGTAGTGCCTAAGGCATTTGACTGCTAACCAGAAGGCTGGTGGTTCAAACCCACCAAGTACTCCTTGGAAGAAAGGTTGGTCAATCTATTTCTGTAGTGATACTACCTCGGAAACCCCAAGGAGGGGTCGCTATGAGTCAAGTCCGACTCTGTGGCACATAAAAACACCACCACCACCACACACACACACAGAGAGAGAGAGAGAGAAATTTATCACAGGGAAATGACTCCATAGTCATAAAGGCTGGCAATTCCAAGTTAGTGGATCAGACATTGAGCTGGAGGCATTTCCTGACTCATGCAGCTGCAGACACTGACAAACCCAAGATTGACAGGCAGTACAGCAGGATCTAGATCCAACAAAGTTTCAGAATTTTCCCAGGATGTCAATATTAGAACATCTGTATTGGATGTCCATATTAGAAGCAGGCCACACCCTTGAGGAAACTCCCTTTCAACTGATTGGCTGCTCAAAGCATATCCCACAATAGAGGTAATTACATTACAACAGATCTCATCGTGGGAATGACTGTACCACAGCTGCTTAAACCACTCAGAATCACGGTCCAGCCAAGTTGACACACAACCTTAACTATTACAGTATCTCTACTCTTCTCCCTATGACAGCACTCCTCACTAAGCCAACAACTTAAGACTATAAGGAATCCTGTGATAGTTGGAGCTGTGTGTCAACTTGGCTGGGCCACAGTTCTGTGTGGTTTAAGCAATTGTGTTGTGCTTTTTTTTCCCATGATGGGATCAGATGTATATGTTTTGAGCGGCCAACCCATTGAAAGGTAGCTTCCCCAGGGATGTGGCCTGCTTCCAGTATATTTATGGACATCCTGGGAAAAGAGACTTTCTTCTGTGGATCAGGATTCTGTTGTACTGCCTACAACAGTCCATGAGTGAACAATCCACCATTCAGCCTGAAGATCTTGGATTCATCATTTGTTGGAGTAAGCACACAGTATACTGCCTGCCAACCTTGAGCTTGTCAGCCCCTGCAGCTGCATGACTGGGAAAAGCCTCCAGCTTGACATTTGATCCAAGAACTTGGGACTTGATAGCTTCCATAAGTATGTGAGCCATTTTTCTAAGATAAATTTCTCTCTCTCTCTCTGCTTTACTGGTTTTGCTTCTCTAGAGAACCCAGTCTAAGACAAATCCCTTCTTTCCTCTGCCCAAGTAGTAGGATTATAGGGTGTGGAACATGGAGGTGGTTGCTGGAAGCAGAGTTAGTTCTCCATCTCCAAGGAATCCTGGATGGTGTAGGTGTTGGCAGCTCCATTTAGAAAACGTGATCCTTTCTCTGACTGCTTGGGAGATCAAGCATGATGAGGACTAAGCATGAGCTATTACGGGGAACCTTTCTGAGAAAGGAGCCCTGGTGTTGCTGTTGGAATTGACTTGAAGGCAACAAGTGTTTTTTTTTTTTTTTTTTTTTTCTGGTACCTTTGTAAGAGCTCTTTCAGCAGAACAATGTATGGCCTGAAGCCAAACTGAACAGGGTAGAAGTGAGTGTGAGTGGTAGGTGAGGGAATGACAACTTCTTTGAAGTACTATAGCTGCGAAGGTGAGAAGAGAAAGACAGGGCTGGTGATAGAGAAGGTTGGTCCAGTGAGGGCTCTTTTTATTTATTTAATTTAATTTTTTTATTGTGATTTGGGTGAAGATTTACAGAGCAAATTCACTTTCCACACAGAAGTT